ACTATGTGAAATAATCTGAAGGCCAAATAAAAGAAATGTCTTGACACATAGCCATAGTAACTTTACAATTTCCTAGTCTAATCATATTAAATTTTTCAAAATTAGTTTTCAAACCAGAAGCTTCTTTGAAATCATTTAAGACTTTAACGCATCTACGAATTCATCAAGTTCAAGAAAAATAACCGTGTCATCTGCATATTGACTAATCTTCACCTCCTCATTAATAATTTTAACCCACGAATATCTTTATTTTGTCTCACGAAACAGCCAAGTACTTCAACTGCCATAATAAAAAGATATGGAGACAAAGGACATCCCTGTCGCACACCACGCTTTATCTCAAAAGAATCTGACGTGAATCCATTATTAATAAATCGTCCTTGTATATTTGTATACAGTGATTTCACCCAATTAATAAAATACTGATCAAATCCAAATACATGAAGAGCGTCATACATAAAATCCCAGTCAATCATATCAAAAGCTTTTTCAAAGTCAATACTCAAAGCTAAACCGTCAATATTTTCTAGTTTACAACTGCTTTGTATATCAATAAATAATCGTATGTTCTCTCCAATAAAACGTCCTTTAATAAAACCATATTTGTCATTACTATCAAGAGCCCTACAACCTTTTTCATTTGCAATGAGAGAATGTTTGATAAAATCTTATAATCACTGTTAAGAAGTGATATTGGTCGCCAATTTTTGAGAAGTAATAAATCTTTACCCTTTTTGGCAACAAAGCAATAATACTTGTTCGCGTAGATAAAGGAAGAATGTTATCAAGCAAAGAGGAATTGTAAACGGAACATAACAAGTCTTTGATGTCATACCAGAAAGTTTTATAAAACTCTATGGGAAGTACATCTGATCCCGGTGACTTTTCATTTTTAAATGTTGTAATAGTTTCATAGCTCTCTTTCTCTGAAATAATAAAAATTAATAATAACTAGTTTAGAATAATAATAAAAATGAGTTCACCTAAAAATAAAAATCGTCGTCTTTGATATCCAGATTAGGTAAAACAACTTTTTTTTTAATGAATTCACAATAAAAATCTTGTTTATCACTAGATGCATATAGATAATGATTAAAACAACCTTTCCTCTTCGAGAATATCTTAAAAATCTGTTATAGGTCCATATGCCGTTTGAAGCCTGGAAATGCATTTTTGATAAAAATTCCTTTTTTCTAAATTAAAAAAATATTTGGTATTACGTTCATCTTCTGAAACCTATTTGGTATTACGTTCATCTTCTGAAACCTATTTAGCTTTAGTTCTAACAATAATACCACGAACAATTTCATCATGTAAATGTTCATATTCATTTTTCTTGTCACATAAATCACTACGTAAAGTTTCATTATTACAACATTCTTCATTGTTGGTTAACCTATTTATCTCTTTCTCTAACTCTTCTAATCGCATTCTGCTTTTCTTTTTGTTCTTTTCGGAACTTTCGATAAACTTACAATGAACTCTAAATTTCATAAATTCCCATATTTTGCTAAAGCTCGAACCTGCCTTTTCAGTCAAAACTATTTTGATTTCATCTCTTATTGAGTCAACAACACCTGCGTCTGCCAATAATGCGGTGTTGAGTTTCCAAAATCCTGGACCTTTCTTTTAACAGATTTTGTCAAATGAAGGCATACAAATAAATGGTCTCTCTTATAACCAAAAGTTATTTCACTTTATTTTAACTGACTGAATCAAACTCTGGGATATCGGGAAGTAATCTAAACGACTTCCACTTTTTCAATCGTGAGACATCCAAGTGTATTTTAATGCTGCAGGGTGAAGATGCCTCCATACATCAACTAATTCAAATTCATATATAATATTTTGAATGGCATTATAACAATTAAGGTGGTTTTGAATCAATCTTGGAAATTTATCCAGCTTTGGATTCAAAATAGTATTACAATTTCCCCCTAATATATATGGCTCTTCACCATAATTACACAACAATTCGTGTAACTCCGAAAAAAAGATACCCTCGTTACTATTTGGACCGTAAAAATTTACAAGCGTAACCGCACTATCATTAATCTTCACTATAACTAAAAGAATACGACCATTACTATCTGTGTGCGTATTTAAAAAAAAAAAAAAAAAAAAAAAAAAAAAAAAAAAAAAAAAAAAAAAAATCGAAATTCGCCGAAGGTTTAAAAAACATGCAAACCCCTGCACTATCTGAACGACCATGACTGAATATTATTTTGTAGCCCCACTCCTGACACCATCTCTTTTTTACAGCTGAAACAGAATGAGATTCCTGTAAAAAATACCACATGGTGATCAGAATTCCGTATCCAATTAAATACACAGTGTCTCTTTAAATGGTTGCCAAGCCCTCGTACATTGATCGACCCGACCTTAATATCTATAGAGTCACTTATCATATTCGAATTCATGTATTGGTATAACAATGACTAGTGGGCCTATACCAGTGAGTTCCATATGAACATATACTGTGTTTGATGATTTAAAGTAGGACAGTATAATATAAGTTGAGAATTGCTTAATTTTTAAGATAGAATATAGAAAAATTAAGTTAAAAAGAAGTGAAAAGAAAAAAGTTAAAGAACAGAAAGATAAAACAGTACACAAATTCTAAGTAAACATCTAAACAATGAATAATCCCTTCCTGTTTGGATTGTCCTTCTGCTGTCATTTGATTTGACAGAGTAAAAATGGAGGAACTTTTAATATACAAGCATAGTAGACCTTAAATAGACATAAGTACATCAATCGTAGCTATATGTGACTAGAAATGAAACAGAAATAGTCAAAAACAGTCAAAAACTACTTTAGATTTCGACTATTCTCGGCGTCTCTACTCCATTCTCTTTCTAACAAAGTAAATACTAATTCAGTTGACGATTGATGAGTTCATATTTTTCGTCAAATTATTGTTTCAGCATGTTATAATTCTTCTGTGTCCTCTTTGCCATCTTTCAGATCTGAAGGTCGAAGCGTTTTTAGGGGTCCCGGGGCATCTTCGGGGCCATCCTTATATTTAATCACTCTCGGGACGGAGTGGGGGATAAACGCAAACTTATTTTCATCTCTTAATTGCCTGACTGACTTTGGAGTTTGGTCATCAGCCGTTTGTGATCATTTCTCGTATCTGGGTGAACATCCTCGTTGATTCCAACCTTTACGCCGCTGATTCGAACATTTGATAATGTCGGGCTCTTCTTCTGGATCGACTCGCAATCGGTGAAGCGTAACAGCTTTACGTGGATGGGTCTTTGGTCGTGGGTTGCGCTGGTCACCTGCTTGAGCACGGAAGTTCGGGGGGTGCGATGGGCGCGTTTCACTTCCACATTCTCCATATAATGAGATGCGAAAAACTGGAGGGCGTATTGTGCGCAATCTTGCGTTACGGAATTTTCATCTGTTATTATGATGATTGAAATATAATACTTGGAATCCAGTCTACAAACTTTACTTTTTGCAATGTAGAGCAAGCCTCTCAGGTTGTCAAGGAACAACCTTCGTTGAAAAGTATGCATACAATTCGAAAATGTTAGTAAACTGGTCTTTTATGGGTTTCAAAACACGGTTTATACAGAGGCAGTGATTCTAGGGAGCCCTAAACGCATCATCGTTTGTAATATTGTTATGTATGTGATAGCCCAGAAAGGACATCGCGGATTTTACGAACAAATTATGCGACTTGACGCATATTTTGTCGCGAAATTCGCGAAGAGCCGCATATTTTTTGTGATTTTGTCGTGAATTCATTTGTCCTTGCTTAAGCGGTAACCAAAGGACGAAGCTGATTTTCACTCACAAATTCGGAGATGAATTAATGTAGCCCATTCAAAGTCCACCAATTAATGTGTGGAATTGCCAATTTGATAAGTGTAAAGATCGCACAACCGCTATACTATTCATATGCAATATATGCTATGTGTCTTGTGTATCAGCGCAGCGATCGTTACCAATACCAATTAAAATGGGCATGATGGATATAAGAGGGGGAGTCGGATGGGGCGGGGGGGGGGGGGGGTAACACAGAACTAAGGGGTAAAACAAAAGATAATTATTTTATGACCTATGTAATAAGTACAAAAATAATGAATCTCATATAATAATGATGCTATAGTCTTCTTTTAAATTGTAATCCCTTCACCTTTAACCTTAATAAGTCATATACATTTTCTATCGAAAAAGTTTACCAAATCACCGAAATTATTCACCAAGTTACCGTCATGTATATTTTTTTCTACGTATCAAAATTGTCCGTGTCAGGGCAACTTTTCAACACGTCAGCGTCGTGTACATTTTCTATAGATAAAATTAATATGAATTTTTCACCACCCTACGCTGACATTTCACCACCCCAGCATCATGTACATGTTCTATGTATGTTTGTATATATATTTTTTCAATGTGTGTTTCTATTAGGCCTTTAAAGATGAAGTTGAGTTCTGGTCATGCGATTGCATTGTGAAAGAAACGGTGTGGAATCGACCAGAAAAGGTTGATCATCTAGCATATGAGAATTTGTGTGTATTGCAAGGTTCTGGAATCATCAAAATGATAAGAAATTTGGCCAAGTCTTGGTAAAGTTACAAACACTGTACACAGAAAGATGTATATGGGGCTACACGAACACGTGGCGTAAAAATCCTACCCGGATTTTTACGATGTTACATGACATATTTAGAATATGATGGCATTTGAAAGGCCATGGTTTTCAGGGAACATGTCTTATCTGATGTTCTTCCACACTTGCATAATAAGAATGATAACGCTCACAAATAATTGTTCACCTCTTCCCAGAACTCAACCTTCTCTTTAAACCAGAATGTTCAAAGTCCATATTCTCTTTGCTTCCGGAAACTACATTCTAAATCACTTGTGACATTCTTATAACGCACACCAAAGGAAAACCTACTCGAGGAATTTAGTGGTGTAATGAGTAAAAGGGGCATTTTTATCACTCGGGCAAGTCTGATTATCGGTACTCCAGTGACATTTACACAAGATAACTAGTTATTAGTCACCAGAGCTTCAAAGGAAACGGGATCGAATACCTCAAAAGTGGGAATCGAAACAGATCTACATACATACCCTCTCCTCAGCAGTGGAAACATTTGTAGGCCTTATATCATGTCTAGTTTAACTAATCTGTTTGATAATGAGGACCGATATCAAGATGTTTATTGCAATGGTTTCTCTCGGATCGCCATGAAAGATGTCGTTCTCAAAGAAGTGTCTCAATATTTTGACGACAACGTGATGAAGAAAATGACCGACGCATTTCCAGCAGACGATCAATTTAATCTTCTTGGTGTTGGTGTAGGTGAAGGTACGTTTGTTGAGGTCTTAAAGTGTAACATGGTCTTAAAGTGTAACACGACCCCCTAGCTCCTGAAAAAAGAGTCGCTGCGTGCGCGCGGCGCTTAAGCCCCAGTCCCATATAAAGCCGGACCAGCACGGACGAGCACGGACCACTCCGGACCATCCCGGACCATGGTCTGGGGTGATCCGGGATGGTCCGGGATGTTTTGTTCAAAAAAAGTGTGATGCTTTTAAAGCCCCAGTCCCATATAAAGCCGGACCAGCACGGACGAGCACGGACCACTCCGGACCATCCCGGACCATGGTCTGGGGTGATCCGGGATGGTCCGGGATGTTTTGTTCAAAAAAGTGTGATGCTTTTAAGCTACAGTCCCATATACGTCCCGGACCGTCCCGGACCATCCCGGACTCCATCCGGGGTGATCCGGGATTCGGTCCGTGTTGACACCGTGTTGGCACCGGGGTGGTCCTGGATGGTCCTGGGCGGTCAATAACTCACTCCCGGACTGCCACGGATCAACACGGACCGCCCCGGCGCCACTACGGATGACCCCGGAACCAGCACGGTGGCTACACGGATCACCCCGGATCAAACTATTGTCCCGGACCGTAGCTTTAGCTACAGTCCCATATATGTCCCGGACCGTCCCGGACCATCCCGGACCCCATCCGGGGTGATCCGGGATTCGGTCTGTGTTGACACCGTGTTGGCACCGGGGTGGTCCTGGATGGTCCTGGATGGTCCTGGATGGTCCTGGGCGGTCAATAACTCACTCCCGGACTGCCACGGATCAACACGGACCGCCCCGGCGCCACTACGGATGACCCCGGACCCAGCACGGTGGCTACACGGATCACCCCGGATCAAACTATTGTCCCGGACCGTCCCGGACCACCCCGGCAGTTTTTGACCGTCAAAAACATCCGGGGTCGACTCCCGGACCGCCCAGGACCATCCAGGACCATCCAGGACCATCCAGGACCATCCAGGACCACCCCGGTGCCAACACGGTGTCAACACGGACCGAATCCCGGATCACCCCGGATGGGGTCCGGGATGGTCCGGGACGGTCCGGGACGTATATGGGACTGTAGCTTTACCGCGAAGCATTTATAGACTGCGCTCCGACTGCGCTACATGCACAGCAGACCGTGTTAATCGCCATTCGTTATGGGGGGACAAAGCCATCACCTACCTACTACGTAATTCTGGCGTGTTTCATCAAGTGACTTCAGTCTAATAGCAATACCAGTTGCCATTAGAATTTGGAGATATCATTGTTTCTGATTACATCTATCTAGCACATTTAACTTCTCTTGATGATGAAAATATGCCGGAAAGTAAGCCGCAAAGAAAAGAAAACAAATGAAAAAGAAATTGAAGAAGCAGAAGGAAGGAAAGGAAGAAAGAAAATGGGATAAGAAAGAAAAAAGAAAAAGTAAAAAAAGAAAATAAATATAAATAATAAATGAATAGAATATAGGAAAAAGAAACCAAGAAAGATAGAAATAAATTGAACGAAAATTGAAATGAAAAGAAGACGAAAGAAGAAGGGAAAGGAGCAAGATAATATTGATACCATGTCTTCACTTCTAGTCAACCTCTTGTTTTTTTTTTATAGGCCTGGCTACCTTTTTTTCCCTTCTTTCCTTTATCTTTTTCTTATTTTTTTCTCTAATTTTAAAAGTAATCTTGGTTTCTTATATTTTTCTTTCCTTACTCGTATACTGTGAAAAAATGATTTCATCCTATGGCGTATTTCATCTGGATTGTATGTTTGTCACAAGTTCATAAGTGCCCCTTATGATATCTGATAATAGCCCTTTTTATTGTTTACCTTGACACGCGTCCCCTCTAATAAGTGCCCTTTTACTTTTTGATATGTGCCACTTTCCCCTTTTTAATAAGAGCCCCTTCCCTTTCTCATAAATTCCTCTTTGACACATGCCTCCTTTTCCTTTCTTGTAATTACCCTTTCCCTCCTAATGGGTGCCCCTTTTCCCTTTTTTATACGGCCCCTCTCCTTTTCATAAATACCCCTTTTCATCTTTGATAAATGCCCCTATTAAAATCTTATAGGTTCCCCTTTTCCTGCGACAAATGCCCATTTTTCATTATCATTAGTGCCCCTTTTAAAAATCTCTGGTGAGTGCCCCTTTTCAGGTGCGAGAAATGCCCCGTTTTCACCACTGATTACTGCCCCTTTTACTTAGACACATGTTCCTTTTCTTTTCAAATAAGTGTCCTTTTTCCATCTGAGTGCTCCATTTTCATTTATCCATAACATGTGCCCCTATTTTTTAAGCGACTAAGAGCAACTCTTTTTCTTTAACCCCCCCCCCAAGCTTGTGTCTACGCTAGATCGCATTTATAGTTGATATAAGTGTGTTATATAGTTTTCAGTCTTTCATCATCGTGATTAAAATCCCAAGCTGTAATTTTTCGCACAGCGACCTCACTTATCTTGAAACTTTTGCTTCCATGTCATGTAAGTGAATATTCAGATTGTGCAAAGTAACATGATGCTTAAACAGTAGCTAATTGGACCATGCATGTTCAGTTAAAAGAGTCTGAGAAACAAATATTGAAATCATCCCTCATTATTGTGACCACAATGTAAACAATTTTATATTTTTGCTTTGAGATTTCCCTTTGTATGTGCCCTCCCCCCCCCCAGAAAGTGTCTTTTTTTTTGTCCCCCCCCCCCCTGAATATATTGATTAGTTAGTTAATTCGGCGAGACATTGCTGCGGCCAGCTGGTTAGTTCGAGTGAACAGCAAACACTTGGCTAGATGTATTATGCCAAGGCGCTGTGCGCATCGACTAATTTTTCAGGAACTTAGGCACCGTGTTACACTTTAAGACCATGTTACACTTTAAGACCTCAACATACGTTCCCCTTTTCATTTGCCTTTTCCTTTTTTCGGTTCCATTAAAGGTAATACAAAATGGCAGTATGGGTCATGAATCTGGTTCAAATGAACATAGTGGAAGCATATGCGATCCTTCAATATTCAGTGATCATTGTCGCGGTTGAAATCGAGTCTTAAGTTATGAAATTGTAAATAATAAACTCTGTATGTTGAAAAGCTCCCTCTCAGTGTCAAGATATTAATTAAGTCATAAAACAAGGTTTCTTGACGTAAATCGACCGATTGGCTATTCCCGCTTGGAAATTATATATCACAACTAAATATTCCGAGATTTTCATGGTCGCAGCTACCTTTGTACTAATTACTAATATAGTAAGCTCTATTTGATTTTATCAAAATTTACCGGGAGCACCGGTAAATTTTGCTATTCAATTTTTCTCAAAAGCAGAAGCGTTTTAAGGGCTAACTTTTCTAGTGCTTATATTACAATCAACAGGGGCATCCAAATATTTTAAAATTGTAAAGAATCACTATCCAGCCAATTTTCAAATTTCTCAAAACTTTGTATTACTTTTAATAATATGCGATGGATGTGAAGGAAAATATACAACAGACATAAAGCCTATGTCGTATCCAATTAAAATTGACTGATTTATATTCCCTTTTCTTCTTCGAAAATGTGGCAACTCAATCAGTTAAATAATATGAGTGCTCTTCGTAATTTCACCCATTCTTTACAGGCCATCATGAACTTCACTTTCTAAAGAGTCTTGGATCTCACTTCACGTCAATAAGAAATGTAGCTGTAGAGCCAAATCAAAGCTTATTCGAAACATTCAAAACCAACGCAGCTGCATGGAGTTCTGATGATAAATCCAATCATGATTCCCGGTGGTTCACTGGTCCTCTCTCGCAGTTCTTTTCTGAAAATCCTTTGGCGAAGTGCCAGTACAACCTAATCAGTGCTATACACTCGATGTATCATACTGGTGACCTTGAGACGACCTTCACCAGGCTGATGTCAATGCTAAAAGACAATGGCATCAAGATCATTGTATTGTCAGGTAGGCTTTCGTTCAACGAATCAATTAGAAAATTAAATAATAAAGGTATCGTGCCCATGCAACACAACAAACGAAAATACCTAGTGAGACAATTGCCAAATCGTGATTTCGGTTTTAAATTTAAATCATCGAATTAGCAATCCTTATCAAATTTGAATTAGTTTTTCTTTCCTTTCCTCTAAAGGAACGAACGGTTACAATTTCCAATAAGAAGTGAAAGCCCCCCCCCCCCCCCAGTTGATATCGTTGGTTCAAACCATAAAATAAAACGGTTATGCCGTATCAAGAAAATGATGATTACAAGAACTTTCGCAAAAATCAACTTTTTGCACTTTCGATAGCCTTGGACATCACAAATTAAATTTTGCAATCATGAGGATGGCGTATTACGTAGACCAATATTGATTTCCCTGGGATATACAGTAGGATATATTTCCTTCAATTACTTTCTCGAAAATCTTTTCGATCTCGTTATAATTTTCTCAATTGAATGCCTCAATCGTTTTTATTTAAATAACTATTTGGAATCTCGTTCCAGTTTTATTTTCTTGATATATCCGTTCCATTTCAGAATGCAAACTGATAAAAGAAACCTTCCTTCAGAATACATGGCTCCCGTTAAGTTTCCGCGTAACCGGAAAATCACTTTCTGATGAAATACGCAAGGTGTCCGAGCAAAAAGGATATACCGTTAGTACAAAGAAGCTGGATATAACGTTGGATCTCACGGATCTATTTGATGAGGAGTCGGAGCTAGGGGACAAACTAGCTGATTTCATAACGTGTACAGCGTACTTGCGGAAAACAGCATCGGCTGAAAAGCTGGACGCATTGATGTCGTTTTGGCGGTCGTTATGCTCACAGGAGGAAGATGGACGCATGCGCACGTTGTCACACGAATCTATCATGGTCATATCAAAGTAAACGAGCATAAACATCAACCTTCTTGGAAAAAAAAACAGTCAAGAAAAAGACAACTCGTTCATTTCACATGATAATATTACTATCTCAGGACCAAAATCCAATTGAAACCACTTGAAATCTCCAACTGGTTTCAATTGGTTACAATTGGAACCAGTTTGGAATGTTCAATAGGTTTCAACTTACTGGATCCAGTTGGCTGTATTCAATTGGTTTCAACTGGAACCAGCCATCTGATTGGTCGAAATTGCATTCATAAACTTTAATTATTCCTGTAAAATTCCTTGTAAAATTCCAAACCCATGTAATAGTTTTAAAAAATAGTTCTAAAATCCCAGTAACCATGATTACCGGGAAAACAGTTCTAAAATCCCAGTTACCATGGTTACCGGAAAAATAGTTCAGTCTTGGTGAAATGGTTTGAGCGATCGAGGATACCGTACGTGTGCGAAGAATTGGTCGGTATTTTCATACAAGACAAGACAATTCCAAACAAGACAAAAATGGCTAAAGAAACTCTCCCAAGATATCAACTTATCAAATGCAAGACTCGCTGGCACGACAGCAAGAACAACAAAAAAAGGGTACGTGAAATTATCCATAAACATGTTCGTTTAGTTGCTGAAAATGGAGTACCAGCATAGACGTAGACGAAAATAGATCTAGGCCTAGTAGTCAGGATGTCTGATCGCCCACCCGATGTTGTGTGCTGAAATTCTTCCCATAGAGATTGCACGCAATGCAGTCTCTATGCAGTCTACGTGCATTGCGCGACCATGCAAAAAAAGTCAATTTTTTTTTTTTCAATTTGAGATTCAAACCTTTATCTGTTCTGATCCTGAAGGTGATACTCAATAAGTGAGGTGTCATATGAAAGCGCAGGTTCTTCTCCATATTTCCCACAGGACCGGCCCACCCCCAAAATTGTAAAAATATCTTGCTTAGACTAGAATCTAGATCTAGTCTACTCTCAAAGATACACTCATAAAAACAACCGTGCAGATAAACTAGAGAAAGGCCAAGGTGGTGTCATTAGTTGACTCTTTTGTTTTACGGCATCTAAAAGTATTAATGACTGCTTTAATATTCGAGAAATAGTTGTTTTTATACGCTCTCGGGAAGGTTATAATTGGGCTATTGCCCTGGGCACGCCTCGGGCAATAGCACAATTCTAACCTTCCCTTGAGCGTATTTAAAAACAACTATTTCTCTCAAAGCAGTCATTAATACTATAATATTACACCCCCTGCCAGTCAATAACTGTGTAATATACAATATTCAGAAAATAGTATCAATTCTTCAAAGTTCATAATTTTTTGTTGTTGTTGAAATGTCATGCACGCAATGTAGATCAAATCATATAACCTGGGCGAAGGTATAGGGGAATCAAGTTTTGGGGGATATAAAGGGAAATTAATGTTATTAAACTATATGAGCAATTGTTAAATAGTGAGGACATGACGTCACAAACTGAAAACAAAATTGGCAATTTGTGTAGTGATTTTCATTGTTCCATTTATATACTTTTTCAAAAATTCATAACTTTCTTATTAGTTATTCGATTTTGCTCAAACTTGTTTTGATTGGTTTGTCTGATTTTTCTGCTTCTATTGAAAGTAAGTTATTTCTGGAGTGGACTTGTACTTTAACCTTTCTGCAAGAGATATGTCTCATAAAATTATTGTCATGCCTATATTTGTTATACATGTATAAATAAATCATTGCCTTATCATTATATGTGTCTACAAGTTTCCATTGATTGGAATGTCAAAGAGTTGTCTGTGTTTTGTTCGTTATTGAGATAATTAAAAATAAAGGTGAGTTCTGGTAAAGAAAATATAAAAAAAGTTCTCACAATATCAAACAAAAATTACATTACATGTTCAAGATAATAAATATATGTCATTTGCCAAACAATTTGGGTAGAAAATGTATACTAGCTGAGTAATGAGCATAAAAAGGTTAGGAAATCAAGGTTAGTAGCCCCGACACCATTTGTGTAGTGCCATATATATCTTTCTGTGTACAGTGCTTGTTACTTGACTAAGACTGGGCCAAATTTATTATGATTTTGATGACTCCAGAACTTTGCAGTACACACCAATACTTGCATGATACATGATCAAATTTTTCTGATCCATCCATTCCACACCTTTTCTTTCACAATGTAATCGATGACCAGAACTCACCTTTATCTTTAAGATCTGAATTTCAAGTTTGCAGACCTGTCATTTTTAAATCCTTTCCCCCTTATGTAACCAAGCACAAACAAACCAAAGAGTTTTAGCATGAACATGGGAGCCGGTCGGGGTGGGGAGGGGGAGGGGGGGGGGGAGGATTACTGTACCACCTCCGTTTTTTTCCAGGGCGCACTGAGGAAAATCCTGGGCTTCCCCAGTGGAAAGGCAACTAAAATGCGACAACCTTTGTGGAATTCTTTTTAGGAAAACAAAAAGGAAATAAGCAACCTAAACTGTGATATATAATAGTACATGTATATATAATTAAGATTATTTTTTTTTATCAAAATAACACTTCCAGTGGCATTAGCGAATAAATAAAAGCCTTACTCTAGACAAACATATATTGTGAAACATCTTATTAGCAATATGATGTATATTTCGCAAAGACAGGGTAAAATAGTTGCTTGGTAACCTAAAGTGACTTAAATTTACTTTGAGAGATGCTCAATAAACGCTGTGGATATATCGTTTTTGATGAATCTAATGCTCCTCAACTGCATTAAAAATAATAATGACTAAAGGTTCATGCTCGAAACCACGTATTTATTCAGAGATCGTGACCGATCAACAGCGAAACACAGAACACTAGGGCTGGGTTATCTCATACATAGACACGTTTCTATAGTAAAACACAGAACACTAGGGCTGGCTAATCTCACACTTAGACACGTTGTTTCTATAGTGATGACCATGGTTTAATGACCAAGCAAAGGTTTCATTGGTTCACGCTGTCGCTCATTGTAACCCGACTCTCATTATTGAAGGAGTGAAGGAAAAGATACTTACCAAAATTGCTTCACTAAAATTCGAACGATTCAATTCGATTGATCGATTGAACACCATGAGTGCGTTTGGGGATTTTTAAAGAATGATTTCACTTTACAATGATGAACGTATTCTCCTCGAGTATATTGGATAACAATAATATTTTATATTGTCAACATTTCCCTGTCGATTGAAGAAATGAATATATCTGCAGCACTGATCGTTATCGGATCTCATCAATGACTCCTAAGGATTTATTTTTTAGCTTTTCAAAAATGGTGAGTTGTAGCAAACTGTCTTCTGTAATATTATACAGTTAACCCCCACCCCCCATAAATTATAAATTTCAATAATTGAATTCAAATAGTGAATGCTAAGAGAGTCTTTACACTTATTTACTTATTTACAACAAGAAAAAAAGAATTTGAACTTGGAATGAAACTGATAAACTGCTATGTCCATTCGGTTGCATGGAGCGGAAACATGGACATTGAACCAACGTTATGAAAAAGAAAACTCACATCTTTAGAAATTTGGGCTAACATGAGAATGGTGAGAATATCATGAGCATTTGGAAACTAGCAGAGAAATATTGCGTATAGCAGGGCTTAAACAAGATATCAATATGAGAATAGTTAGAGAAAGATAGGCGAGAAATGTCGTGGTCATATTAAAAGACGTCAGAGTCTCTTGAAAGATATATTAGAGGGAGAGGTAGACGGTACTAAGCCGAGAGGGAAGCCAAGAACCAACTGGGAGGAGAACATAAATACCTGGGGGGTGTTTCACAAAGACTAAGATCGATTTTTAGTTAGGTTCATTCCACTAGTTCCTCTTAACATTCCTGACATTGGTTTCTCAAGGGACATATAAATTGTGGTCACAAATATAGAGAATTTATATTTTTTGGATAGTTCATTATTAAAGGAAAACATATTATCTAAAGATCGCAATGGCGAGAGCAAATAGTGGCAAGTGTGGTCTGCCATAATTAAGTCTTAATCTTAATCTTAGTCTTGTGTAACACTCCCCTGGTGTGGAATGACACTGCAAGCGTGTATTGAAATGGCAGATAACTGAGACGTGTGGGAAGAATGTTGCAATCAACCTCCAAGTTCGAAATCTTCTTTCTTGTATTAAAGCTTGTATTAGGCTCTGAAAATTGTTTAAGTTCCTATAATACATATCCATATTTGTCACTTGAGTATTTTATTGACATGAAGAAATGAAAGAAAAATGAAAGAAAGCAAATGTTACTTTGAACTCGAACTTGTAGAGGATCCAATCTTGTCGAAGCAACGGTAAAAACAAACAGTGGTGCTACGACATTTTCAATGATACAAAAAGACTGTGAAAATAATGAAGATCTGATTATTACTTTTTTGTGTTCCCTTTTACCCACAGAATATGGAACAGATGACTCGTTGGAAGATACTACATGGCATTACAACTTGTTTGTCCATCGGTACGTACTGCTTTAATATAACATGAACTATTTGATTCCTTTTTCCCTGATATGTATTGAGCAGTGCTTTGGTTCTTCGAATGCTTGAGAATCTCATGTCTGTTGAGGTGTCACAAACAGTCTGTATGCAAGAAATCACATTTGATATCATGTATGATGATGATAAAATATGATAATGATGATAATAATGATGTTAATGATAATAACAATACAAATAATAACAATAATCATGAATGGTGCTTGATTTTCTTTTGCTCGATTTTGCTTGCTTAACGCATTCATAACCTCCTTATTTTGTATCAGATGTTCACGGTTACGAATGATTTTATTATTTTCTGTTCTTTGAAATAAATCTCACTCACAGTCTTACTGGTGTCATCAGAAGTAACCGACGGAGCAAATTCATGTTGTACAGATGGACTTGGCTTGAACTACACACTACCAATGTTTAAGGAGTGTAGGAAAAGACAACATTCTAATGGCAGCCTAGTACAGACCATCCCAAAGCTCATATCTCTTGACATCTTTGCTAGATGCCCTATAAGAGAGGGTACACCAGGAAGACCTCACACCTACAGAGTT